CCTATTTTAATAAAGAAATTGCAATAAAAACAAACAAAAATTGGAAGTTTTATATTGTGGAAAACAACCCCTTCCTTCTGGCATCTGTGCTGTAGCAGGCAGGTCCTCCTTGGGGAGGCAATTTTTTTCTGAATTACATAGGAAGTTCCATGCCAGGGACTTCTGCTCTCCCCCACCCCACTTTATTTCCTACATTAGTAAACAAGTAGGGAATTCATCAAAGTTTCAAAGGTTGGTAATAGAGAACCAGTGGTGACAAATTGATTTCCTGCAGCCCAAGTGAATTGCAGCCAGGGTGAATAGCAGCATAGTGACCAAGATGGACTTCATGCCAAAGAATGATTTTTACTTCTCAGAGAGGAAAAACAAATAATTTCCTGGTGTCTGGACTCAGACACTGGGCACCAAAATGGAAGGCTGTACTGTTCTCAAATTCATGGGCTTTCCCTAAGTAGTTACAGTAAAGAAGAAATCTTATCTAATAAAGAGGAAATATGCTAATTGACCATCATGTCCTCAAAAAAATGGTGGCACCTCAGCCAATAAGGAGGAAATATGCTAATTGACTGCCATGTCCTCAAATATGGCAGCACTCAGTCCTCTCAGCCCTGCTGGAGCAGCAGCCATGTGTCTGCCTCCAGAGTCCCCCAGTCCTCTCAGTCTCCCAGTCTCCCAGGGCCAGCTTGAGATGCAGGCAAGCTTCAATGGTGGCTGCCCAGCTGACACTGAGGCTTGCTTATGGGTTGGATGGCAGGTGCCCAGCTGCCCAGGACTGCCCAAGGCTGAGGTAACCAGGTCTGGCCACGGCATGAGCTGCCTGCAGTGGCAGCAGAAGAGGCGTGATTGCTGGGTCACCTCCTGCCCCTGAGGGTTCCTGACTGTAAGAGGGGACAGGCAAGGCTGAGTTGCATGAATTTTCATACACTGGGCCTCTAGTTGTAAACAAGAAGAAATGAAATGCCTTCAGAAATAAAATTTTTTTAAAAAAAAAACATGCTGATTGACTGGATGGAGAAGGGCTTTAGGGGGTCTACAGTCCAACTGCCTTACCTAGAGGGTGGAGGTGACACCCTCTACTCACCTCTCTCCCTACATCTCTGGAAGTCTGCTCTGAAAGGAGCTAGACTTTAGAGCTATCTGGAGGTGTAAATGGGCAAAGCAGGCTCAGAGAGAAAAACCTGACTTGTTTCTAAGTTACAGCAAAATAGGAACAGTAATAGGCTGAGAACTCACTTCTGATTCCCTGAATGAGGCCCTTCATGTTGGTCTGATAAATATGGTATATGGCATTCAAAGACCAAAACTGCGGCTCAACCAGGGTGAAGTCACCCAAGTAGGTAAGTGGAAGAGCTTCAGGAAGGCTGGCTGGCATAAAGCCACCTTGAGTACTGGCAACCTCAACCTCAGGAGGCATCATAGATGAATGAATTGGCACAAAGGGCTTTGAGGACTTGCCTGAGCTAAAAAAAATTTTTTTTAAATTTGAAAGCAACCAGTAACATCAAGACATAGATGGGGCCTGGGCTGTCCCCTCGAGGCTATTCAGAACATTCTCCCAAAGGCAAATCAGAAAAGAGAATTTTGATTTGCCCCCAGCAGAAACTCCTGAAAGCTCCAGCCTCTTTCGGGTTCATCCTCTAGACTATTTGCTCTAGAGCTGCTCACTGCTTTATTGGTCCTGTCAAACTGCAGCCTCACACCTGACTGTGCCTGTCAACATGGACGGGACTGGACTCCAGCCAATGTGATCAGAGGACTGTGGAGGGGGCTTGCCAGTTGCCCCAGTGCTAGCTGAATAGGGGTGCCAGGCTGCCCTTCAGAGCTCAGACTGTGGCACCCTGGGAACTCAAGATTTTACAGCCTCACTCACCGGTTCTGTCTTCACCAAATATTCTCCTCTTTACCCCCTACCTTCACCAACTCCTAAAAAAGCCCCATGACCTCAGGAGCAGAGGCCACAATTCTTGATGTCACACGAAACACCACCTTCCACCTGCCCTGCCTCCCTGCCCCTTTCCCAGGTGCAAGAATTTCCTTGCTCCCAGGGCGACTTTGGATCAAATCTTGAGGCTGAGACCGGCCCAGCCCACCCCACCAGGATGGGCCAATGCTTGGGTGTGGCCCACTCGTGCCAGGACAGCTCCATGCTGTCTCCTGGGCAGCCCTGGGCCTGATACAATTGCAGCCTGATATAATTGCAGACCCAGATGGGAGGGCAGGAAAGCTGACACCCCACCCCTGATCAGTAGGGAAACAGCCTTTGGGTGGGGAACAGTCAGGGGTGGGAGTCGATATGGCTAGAGAATGATGAATGAATGAATGAATGAATGAACGAACGAACGAACGAACGAACGAACGAACGAACAGGAATGATGGTAGAGGGTGGTGGTGGACTATGGAGATGTCCCAAGGAGGGTTCTCTACGGCGCCGGGACCTCCCTCATCCCCACGCACAGAGCACAGTAGCTGGGACAATGTGCCTAGCTGTGAACACCCCAAAACCTGAGAAGCACAGCTCTTGAGCTGAGCCTACATTTCCGCGGGCAGAAGGCACCCAGGCGCATCGGGCCCCACCCCTCCCCTCGCCTGAACCAGGCAGACGGGTTGCAGTGCCTTACTTGCCAGCCGCCCCTGTCCAGAGCCGTCATAGATCCGCCTGATACCCAGCGGCCCAACTAACACAGGCAGTCCTCGCCCTCGCAGCCGGGAGGGCCCACCTCCTCCTGCCCATTGGCTGCCCTCATGGGACGGGCCCGCTCATTGGTCGGTCCTTCCCCTCTCCAGACTCAAGGTGGGGCACAGATCTCCATGCCCCTTTCAGAGTCTGAACCTCCATCAGAGCACAGCAAAGATCTTGGGTTCCCTCCAGATTCTTCCTCTTCAGCCTTCGGAGTCTCTTCTCGGAGCTCTGCAACCAATTCCAGCCCTTCTCAAAATAAACCCTCCCAACATAGAATTCCAGGATAGCTTTCCATTTCTCTCCACACCAGATTATTGAGGGTCTGAGCAGGGAATGCTAGAAGCAATAGTGAAAAACTGGGAGCTAAATGCTGCCATACACTTTGCCCAGAGTTGGAAACTTCACTGTGGCCCAGGCAAAAAAACTCTTGGAGAAGTCTGGGAAGGACTGAAGATGGCCAGGAAATCAAGAGTGAGGAAGCACAAGTAGAAGAGCTGAGATTAGTGGTGTTAATGAGATGACAATGAACTGGGTCTTGAGAATGGGATCAAATTTAAATTCCCCCAACTTTTTTGGCCTGCAGACCCCTTCCTCCTATCTCCACCAGGAAGAGCTTAATCCTTGGGAGACAGGGAAAGGTGCAAGTGGATTTGGTTCCATTCCCAAACCTCTCCCACCTCCTTTACCCAGCTGTGTACCAGAGAGAGGGCATAGGGAGACATAAGGGGTACTAAGAGAGCACAAGTTTGAAACTGTTCTGGGAACTTTGGAGCAGAAGCTCAGGAGCCAGGTCTCATCCTATAGCTCCCACCAGGGGCCTCTACTGCATGAAAGCCTAAGGGGAAGGCAGGGCAAGGACCACTTCAGTTTACCCACCAGAACAAGAGGAAGGGGCCCTCGTCACTGCCTTCTCATCTAATTCAAACAAGCCATAATTTCCCCAGGAGCCCAAGCAGTGGCTCAGATGACTGGAGCACTGTCCCTTGATTGTATCAAAGGGTCACAGGTTTGATTGTCAGAGCACATATCCAGGTTGTAGGGGAGGCAACTGACTTAATGTTTTGCTTTCTCTCTCTAAAAATCAATAAAGATATATTCTTGGGTGAGAATTTTTAAAATATATTTTATTGTATTTTTACAGAGAGGAGGGAGAGGAAGAATTAGAAACATCGATGAGAGAAACATCTATCAGCTGCCTCCTGTACACCACAACTAAGGTACATGCCCTTGACCGGAATCAGACCCGGGACCTTTCAGTCTGCAGGCCGACACTCTTATCCGCTGAGCCAAACCGGTTTCGGCGGGTGAGAATTTTTTTTTTTAAATTTTCCCAGCTGCAGTTTTGGGTATTGATTTTAGAAACATTCTTGCTTCCTAACCAGAATAGATACCAAAACCTGGGTATGTGCCCTGACCAAAATCAAGCCCCATAACACCAGAGCACAGGACAAGAATTTCAATCAATTGAACCATACCAGCCAGGGCTTCAGCTTTTACACACCGCCTGAAGGGGGCAACCTATGCAAGCCAGCTACTAATGGTTCACCTTCTAATTCAACTCACTATGCAACTCTGCGCTGTGGAGATGGACAGGTTGACAGGTGGCCTGAGCTGTCCAGATTTGCCACCAGGAGCCTTGAGGCTCATGCTATTTTGCCCTTCTCAGAGGACAGGGATCACCATCACTCCTTTCAAAAAAAAGAGGCAACAGGTGTTTCAGCTGTTGTTTATTGACATATAGGTAGGCTGTATAGCAACAGGCCTAGAGGCATCTGCAGTAGTGGGGATAATAAAGGTGGAGGATGGAGTTTGTCTGCAGTGACAGCTGAGTGGAGTGCTGGAACAGAGGTGCACAGTGCACAAGATGGGAGTTGGGGAGGCTAAGGGGATTAAAGAAGCAAGTGAAGGCCAGGGCCAGAGTCTGCTTAAACTGGAACCACTGCCTTCTCTAGCCAGCCATCTTCTGACCCAGGCCAGGCTTGGGAGTTCTCTGAGTGTCCATTTCTACAGGAAGTGATTGGAATGCACAGAGGAGCAGGAGCTATTGCCTCTATGTTCAGCTTTGGAGCCTCCAGTCCTGCACCCCTGTCTGTCTTGCTTGGGTAGGGCTGTAAGATGGGCAGCCTGGCTCTGAACTATACCTCACCTGAGCAGGGTCTTAAAAATAGCTACTTTACTAAGGCCCTAATCTTCTTCCTTGGAGCCCCAGTTCATGGGTGGCACACTACAGCCCCAAGTGAGCACTGCAAGCATCGCTGGCCTAAGGGATGGGTTGGGGGAGGGGATGGGACAGGAGCTGGAGGAGGGGTTTTGGGGCCCATCACGGCACAGGCACTACACGCATGGTGTTGGTGAAGCCAGAGCCAGGACGCCACCCAGTCAGCACGATGACCACATCTCCCTTCTTGAAGAAGCCTCGGGCTTTGCCTAAAGGAAGAGAAGAGATGTGGGTGAGTAAATGCCAACTCAGGCAGGTATGAACTTGGGACATTGCCCCACTCCCAGAGATAGCAAGCAGGGCTGGATGACTATTACTTCTTTATACCAAAAGGTGGCCCCAAATTCAAAGCCAGGTAAAGGGGAAGAGGACAGTCCTGAGATTTCCCTATCACTCAGGTGGCAGACTTGGCAGGGACCTTTGGACATCACTCATTTTATGCACCAGAAGATGAAGACCTAAGGTTAGAGCTAGCTGCTTCCTCTCATTCAATGGCACCCTACACTTACAGTGGGACAAAGGCCACATCAGTACATAATCTGTGTGTGCCACCCCACAGTGCAGAAAACCCAATAATGAGCAGATGCCAAAGAATGGACAATCCTGCTTATCTAGGTCCTTCGGCTGTGGCCGTAGGTTGGAAGAGTGAGGAGACAAACTGGACTGTTCAGCCCCACAACTTAAAAGCCTTCTTCCTGCCTGGGCTCAGCCCAATACTTCAAAGATGGGGATGGAGGAATCATTCCCACTGACAGTGGCCAGCCAGGTCTCTTGCACCCTAAGGTCTGCATGTTCCCTTTCCATAGCATCCCAGAGAGCTCAGTGTGCAAGCACCTCTACCACAGGCTCTAGCCCTTGTTCCCAGTCACGCACCAACATTCATGGCCAAGTTCACCCGGAGGTCCACATCCTCAGCCCAGGCCTCCTGCACTGGGTCCTTACACACCACAGGGAAGATGCCTCGGTATAGGTGGGCCTGGCGAGCTGTCTGGTGATTACGAGTCACAGCAATGATGGGAGCACGGGGGCGGTATCTGGCCACCTGGTGAGCAGACCTGAGAGGGGATGAAGGACAGGTAGAAGATACCGTTAAATAATGTTTCAGAGCCTCCCAGGGGCTTCAACTCCAACTCACTATGCCAGCCTGAGGCGTTGGCCACTTAAACATCTACCCCCTGGGTCCCTGTGGGAATTCCCATGGCTGGGGCAGCCCCTCTTCCTGTATCTTCCACAGCATAGTTGTGAGACCCATTTGCCCTCCACCCCTCTTCATAGGCCCAGAAATCCTCCTGACCCAGAATGGTCAGTTTCACCCACTTTCCTCACATGGCCCATAGTTGGCAGAATTTCCCCTCTGAACTTTTCCATTCTGGCACAGGAAGGCAGCCCTCGTCCAAGCTCACCAGTACCCATTTCTCTAGATGTCAGTAACTCCTACAAGCCAAGTAGCAGGTGACTAGTACCTAACTCTAGACATATGCAAAGAACAGGAACAGAGCCTACCAACCCCCTGGGTACCTACAACACAAGCTGCCTTCCATACTGCTAGGCCCTCCAAGACCCCATGTGGCCCCCAGGTCTCCAGGTCCTGAAACAGTTCCAATAACTGAGCTCTAAAGATTGAACCAAACCTGAGTATCTAAGTGAGGGCAGTGCTGGTGTGGGAGGCTCTGCTTGGACGGTTCCTCTGGAAGGTAGGGGCCTCTCTGAAGCCGTGTTGGGTACTTCCTATATACTTACAGTTGCAGAAGTTGGAGAAGAGTGTGCAGGAGTGACTGGGCCCCAGAAGGCAAGCTATGAGGACACCCAACAGGTGTCAATGAAACTTACACCATATTACAGCAGAGAATGCCCAGCTTAATGCCTGCCTGGCCTCTACAAGACTTTCAAAGGGAAGCAGTTGCTGAAATCAGGACAAGCAGTGACTGAAATCCAAGATAGGAGCTCAAAATAGCCAGATAGTAAAGGTTGGACCTTTTCATAAATGTCAACCGCAATGGTTGGGGCTGATTATCCAGAACTCTCTGCTGAAGGAATCTGCAAAAATCTAATATCTGGTTAGTCCCTCCTGCTGCTTCTCAATTTATGGAGACTGCCTGTTTGCTCCTCTTCCAGGAAACCCAAGCTGTCCTGTGGGCAGGGACGAGGAGCATACCCCAAGACTGTCCAGGGGATCCTAAGTCCATGGCCAAATAGGCCCCAGCTTGGCTGCATGACAACATGGTGACTTTTCCTGGGCCAGAAATCACTTGTCTTCAAAGTTCAGAGATAGAGAGGGACTCATGCACCAACCATTGGGCACGTCAGTGAACAGCACTAATTTTCCAAGCCAAGCTTTTAAAGAGCATACAATAACTGAAAGAAGCAAAGCTGGAGGCCTGCTACTATTTTAGAAAACCAGCCTTTAAATACCAAGTAATTAATTGTCGCCGAAACCGGTTTGGCTCGGTGGATAGAGTGTTGGCCTGCGGACTGAAAGGTCCCGGGTTCGATTCTGGTCTAGGGCATGTACCTTGGTTGTGGGCACATCCCCAGTAGGGGGTGTAGAGGAGGCAGCTGATCGATAATTCTCTCTCACTGATGTTTCTCTCTTCTTATCCCTCTTCTTCTCTATCCCTCTCTCTAAAAAAAAAAAAAAAAAAAAAAAAAAAAATCAATAAAATATATATATATATTTTTAAATTGTTGTAAGTCTATCTGTAGTTAAGCAGTGAAGTCTTGATGGTGTAAACTTGCTTTGAAGCCAAATGATTCCCCATGCCTTTTGAGTGCGACCTAGAGTCCTTTGAGCCCAGGGAGAGGGGGTGTCTGCTCATTCCTGGACCCTGGCCTAGGGGCTGAGGGAGCTCCTTCCCTTGCAGGGTCCAGGTGGCAGGCAGCAGGGTCTTACCTTGGCTCAATGTCATCTGAGCATTGTTCAATGCACTGCTCCCAGGACCCTCAAGAAAAGGTGCCACTGAGCAGGGCATTCCCAGGGAGCTGCTGCCACCTCCTACCTGCCAGACTTGGTGAGGACGATTATGGCCCCACTGCAGCACTTGAAGGAGGCCTCCACGGCGCCCACGGCGGTGGCTTCTGTGGGGTCGCTGGTAATGGGGGCCAGGCGGCGGAGTTCCTCAAATAATTGCAAGTGGTAGATGGCGGCCTCTGCCTCACGGGCAATCTAAGGGAGCAACATCCATCCAGAGGAACGAGAGGGGTACAGAGCTTTGTCAGAGCTGTGTCACAATGGGAGAGGCAGAGGAAGAGTTGCACAGACAGCTGGTGAAGGACACATCCCTGGGTGCAAAGGCCAAGGGGAACCCAATCACTGCAGGTTCTGAGCTGACCAAGAACAAGACTCGCAGAAACCAGTCCTTCACCATGTGCCTGTGACACCACTTGTGCCTACCAAGCTTTGTTTCTGCCCTGCCCTGAGCTCCCTTGACTAGCTTCCTGCAGATGAAAAAAAGAGGCTCTGAGCCCAGGTCCTAGATGCAAGGCTGGACCCTGGCTGTTTTCTAGAGCAAGCTAGAGCAAGATGCTGGTTATCCTACAGAGTTACCTGCCTTTAGGGCCCTACCTGCCAGACTCCGTCAGAACTATCAAAGCTGCTGCTAAACACTTATAAGAAGCCTCCACGCTGCCCATGGCCATGGCTTCCATGAGGTCTGTGGAGTGACTTGAGCCTCGCACAAGTTCTTCAAACAGCTGGCGGTGGAACATGGCTGCCTCAGCCTCACGAGCTATCTGTAAGGTTTAGGGCAAAGAGGAGGCGAGGAAAGGGAAGGAGGAGGGAAAAAATATGAGACAACAACATGGAAAGACAGAATGGGGAATTAATCAGAAGAGAAGGTAACCTTAGGTTAATTGGCTAAATCTGTCCTTCAGGCAGATGCAACTAGGCAGGGTGATACAAGCCAGTTCAGGGATATGTGAAGAATTTCCAGCCTCAACTGCTGCTGCTTCCCTTCCATCAAAGGGGAAATTGTTCCTTCCATTCTGGAAGTTATTTTGATTGGGAGTGGGGGTGGAGGGAGACAATATGGTGGCAGGTTCCAATACCTTAGCATGGAAACATGGCCAGACTGGGCCCAGGCCACTCCCTGGCAGGACTTGATCACACTGCCTCATGACACAGCTTACAGGAAGAAAACAGGCCATCCCTCCTCACATGGCTGTCTAGTTCTCCAGGGCTTCCTGCCCAGTTTCCATGTACACATGGAGCACTTGGTTTGGCATTGGGCACAGGGGTGTTCCAATGGCCTACCATGGAAACACATGAACCCACTGGAAAGTGAAAGCCATGAGGCTTAACTGTGTTCTAAGCAGGAGGGTAGAAAACTGGCAAATTTGTCAGGATGACTGAACAGCCATATGGAGACAGAGCCTGTGGAGGCAAGTTGAACAAGAAATCTGATTAAAATCTAATTGAAAGTCTTAAGAATGCCACTGAGTTATTTATAGACCATTTGCTCAGATAACACAAAAAATTAGTAAGAAAATTTAAGCTTTAGAGGATTAAAATGCCATTACCAACAGCTTAGAGAATAATGGGCGAGGGAAGAATCAGTAATATCATCTCATTAATTTGACAGATATGTGGCAGGATTCACTAATTTTCTCTCTTCAAGAATGGAATGCATGCAGCCCAAAGGACATGGGAGAGGAACAGAAACAGGAACTGAACCAAACATGGTACTGCCTGGCCCCTAGTTACAGACCATTTACTGTATCAGTTAAGACACAGGAAAAAGCAGTTAACAGTTAAGAGAAGCTGTCAGCCAGTATTAACTAGGGACAAAGAAAGAACAGACCAGCACCACCTGGCCTGGACCCCATAACTTATCTTTTGAGCAGGGCCATGTAATCCGAGCCCTGCAGTTCAGGTGTCCATATGTTATAGGAAAGATTGGGGTCTGGAAAAAATGGACATGAAGTGAGAGCCCAGAGCCTGATTTTTAGTCTCTGACCCCAGTCAAGCCCATGTGGAGACCTGGCCTTACGTCCTGTGATATTAGTGTTATGGTGCAGGACAGAACACTTGCTTTGAAGTCAGATATTGGTTCAAACTCAGGCTTTATATTACTATGTACTCCTCATCTATAAATTAGATAACTTCTATATCACCCAGAGGCAATAAAGATTACATCAGTCTACACAGGGACTTATCAAACATTTATACAGTGAATATTTAATGCTAAGTCTATAATTAAACATATCCCATCTAATTCATTTTACAGATAAGGTCTAGAGACACATTAAAGTCCCTACATGTTCCATGGTTCAGTAAATCAGGTCACTCTTGTACCTGAGGCCATACATCTAAGCAAGGAAATCAGAGACTGGTAATGTGTGGAGAGGCCCATAAGTACACCAGCAGCCACCCCAGAGGTCACTAGTTCAAGGCCCACTGTCTCCTGGAGAGAGAATAGCTCAGGGTGACAAGCATCAAAACAGCAAGTTTGTCTCACAAACGGGGTGCATACTCGCTAGGGCCAAGGTACACAGACATGCCAGGGACAGGATTTCCTCATGGGGAAATCCATGAAGGATGCTGAAGACAGCCCAAAAGACAATTTTTAAGACGTTTCAGTTCACCACTGAAAACTTATGAAATTGTAAATGACGTCTTCTCTGGAAGCTAGTTAAACCTAATAATTGGACACAGAAAATGGGGGAAAGGAAGATACTTAGTCCAGAGGTTCTTAGAGAGGAGGTGTTGCACAAAGGGCGTGGGGTCTTTTGTTGGTTGAAAGGAAGTAGGAAGGTAAAGAAAACCCATTTCAGAATAACATACAAATTCACTGAGCTACACATTATAAACACTGACCTAAGACTATTGTGGGCAATTTGTAGCATTTTCTCAGGCATTGTAACCCTGATAGCTGGTTCCTATGTCAACACTTCAGTAAGCTCTAGAGCAGGAGCGAACAAGCCATGACACACAACCAAGCAGTGGGACATGCAGAGCAGAAAAGCCTTGAAAAGCTAGTTAGCTTCCTGAACAGGGAGCGGGGGAGGGGGAAGGAGGGGAGAGAGTCTACCAGATGCTTTCACTCCAGGACCAGGCAGGATCAGCCATCCTTCCACCAGTCTTTGTGAATCTGTGGCCTGTCACTTAAACCTCACTTTTAAGTCTGGGGTGAGTGCAACAGCTCAGCACAGCAGGTCCAGCTGCAGGCACCATGCAAGGCCAACTCACAATCAACTCAGTGTGGACAACAGTCTCCAGTAAGGACCCTGTGGAGGAGGCCCCTGACTGTGGGACAGGTGGGGAATCAAATGGATGCCAAAGAGGATGGTTAGGAGCAGGAGGCACTGGCCTTTTCCAGAGTAGGGCAGAAGTACTAGGTCCTCTGTGCTATCCAGAGGAAGAGGTACAGCTATCTTGATTCTTAAGCCAAGGGAAGAAGCCAGAGTGATTGCGCTATGTCTTATGAAGGAGAAAACTCCAAAACAGAGGGAAACAGGAGGAAGGCTGTGGGAGGGAAGGCAGAACAGAAAAAAAACAAGACACCCCCCTTCCCCCCGCCCCACTTGTGTTGTGATTTGAAGGACAATAAAAAATATGGGTCCAGAAGCTTAAATAAAAAGCATGGCTCTGTACAACAGCTGCCTCCACCCCAGCCTGAGCCTGAGCTGGGGAGACAGGCAGGCCCCAAGAACTCACCAGGTGCTGCATGCGCACAGCCTCCAAGGGGTAGTCCCCTTTGGCCGTCTCTCCAGACAGCATGATACAGTCAGCTCCATCCAGGACTGCATTGGCCACATCACTGCCCTCAGCCCGGGTGGGACGGGGTTTTTTGATCATGCTCTCCAGCATCTGAGAAGAGACAGCATTAGTGAGACATGGACTGGGCTGTCTTCAGAGATGAATGACTGCAAGCTGACTCCCTGGAGAGTGTGTATGTACACAGAGCATGGCTTTGGGTAGGTGCACAGGGGAAAGAAACATGTGCGTGTTTGTGACATGGGGAAGGGTCCGTGGAAGAAACAGTGAAAGCTTCTGTAGTGAGAAGAGGCACATGCCTGTGTGGCACAGATGACAGGCTTTCCAGCTCGGTTGCACCGCCCGATCATCATCTTTTGAGCAAGGAAGACCTTCTCTGTAGGGATCTCAATGCCTAGATCACCACGAGCCACCATGATCCCATCACTGGCTTCCAGGATCTCATCAAACCTGATGGAAAGGTGGAAAAAGAGAGGTTATGTGAAACAGGGGTCACTGGTATAGTAATACAAGGAAACTTTTCCTGGGATCCTCTGCCTTAGCTGTCCTTGCAGAAGAGCCACCTATGTCATCACTGATGCATGGAGGTGGGATTTCCAGCTAACTCATTCCCTAGAGTGGCCCAACAGTTTAGTATGCTGGGTTTCTTCAGTCCTAGTATGGCTACTTCATAGGGACAAGGGGAGGGGTAAAGTTTCCTCTCAAGTCCCACGGGCTCATTTCTTTTCCATCTGCATCTTAGATGGCCCCTCCTGAGGTCTCTCTGCTATCTATACTCCCAAGGCAGAAAGGAAACCTAAGGCTTGCGAAAAGCTCCCAACACAAAAATCCATGGCCTCTTCCAGCCAAGGAGCCCGAAGGTTACTCCTGGAGGCTGCCGTCCCCACCCCCAAACTTGCTGAAGGGAAGCGGAAATATGGCTCTGCCTGGCCTGGGTCCAAGGTCAGCTGACTTATCAGGATGGCACATCCAAACTGCCTAATACAAAGGACACCTACACAAAGTCAAAGACCACAAGGTCACAACAGTCGGTAGGGCTGCTCCTTCCATCCTCCATGAGCACATGCCTAATCCACATGAGTAGGTCTAGGGTTTTAGCTGCATTGAGTTGTGTTTTTAGTATGAAACAAACAGATGTCACCACACTGGCCATAATCATTTGTTGGGCACCGGGGAGGTTGTGAGCTAGGCTGCGACAATCTAAACCTGGAGGAGAACCATATGCCTCCCTCAGGAAAGCTGGTATCATGCCTGGTCACTGAGCCAGCTGCTTTCTAAGTGAACACTAGGAAGCTATAATGTTCAGTAACAACCCCAGGTCCTGAGCTTCCTTCCAAATGGTCCTTTCTTAAGGAGCCACCCTTTCCCAGCTCGGTTGATCATCATATTTTGAACAAGGAAGACCTTCTCTGTAGGGATTTCAATGTTGCCTTTCCTCTGGGTGACCCCACATTCCAGCAAACACAAGTAGTACTCCTGGTTAGGCATATAGCATGATGGCTCCTGATCCTGTGAACAGTAACCCTGTCCTCTCTAAGGTGGATCCCTGGGTCTCTGGAACAATGACATGATGCAAGCATTCCAATCACCAGGAAAGCTTTTATAAAATACTAGAGGCCTGGTGCACGAAATTCGTGCAGGGGGAGAGGGGTATGCCTCAGCCCAGCCTGCACCCTCTCCAATCTGGGACATCCCTCTCACAATCCAAGACTGCTGGCTCCCAACTGCTTGCCTGCCTATTCTCCTGATTGCCCCTAACCACTTTTGCCTGCCAGCCTGATCACCCCTAACTGCTCCCCTGCCAGCCTGTTTGCCCCTAACTGCCATCCCTTGCCGGCCTGGTCACTCCAACTGCTCTCCCTTGTAGGCTCAGGTCCCCCCACAACTGCCCTGCCCTGAAGGCCCAGTCACCCTCCACTTCCCTCCTCTACCAGCCTGGTCACCCCTAACTGCCCTTCCCTGAAGGCCTGATTGCCCTAAACTACCCTCCCTTGCAGGCCTAGTCCCTCTCAACTTCCCTTCCCTGCTGGCCATCTTGTGTCCACATGGGGGCAGGATCTTTGACCACATGGGGGCAGCCATCTTGTGTGTTGGTCAATCTGCATATTACTCTTTTATTAGATAGGATAGAGGTCTGGTGCATGGGTGGGGGCCAGCTGGTTTGCCCTGATGTGTGTCCCAGATCAGGGTGGGGGTTCACTTGGGGTGTGGAACAGCCTGGGTGAGGGGCCTGTGATAGTTTGCAGGCTGGCATGACCCCCCCAGCAACCCAAATGAAGACCCTGGTATCTGGGGTTTATTTACCTTATATAATTGAAACTTTGTAGCCTGGAATGGAGCCAAGCCTTCTGCTTGCTCTGTAGCTGCCATCATTTCTGTTGAAATTTATTTATTATAATTGAAACTTTGTACACTTGAGTAGAAGCCTAGGCTGGCAAGGGCAGGCGGAAAGCTTGGCTTCCTCCATTGCTGGGGAAACCCAAGTTTCCCTTCTGCTCACTCCATGGCTGCAGCCAGCTTGGTTGGGGTTAATTTGCATACTCACTCTGATTGGCTGGTGGGCGTGGCCTCTGGGTATAGTACAGCAATGGTAAATTTGCATATTATTCTTTTTATTATAGTATTGTACCAATGCCTTCCACTTCTCCCCTACAGATATTCTGGTTTGGTGGGTCTGGAACAAGCTAAGTCTGCATTCTGATACACAGGCAGCCGGTACTCAGAGGATACACCTGGCTCCTCAGAGAGCTGGGCCGGGGCAGAAGAAGGTGGGGACAGATGATGGGACTTACCTCCGAACTCCTTCATGATTTTCGATTTTGCTGATTATCTTGATGTTCTTTCCTTTTTCTCCCAGGACCTTTCTGACCTCATGGACATCAGATGCCTTGCGAATGAAAGATGCGAATACCATATCTACATTCTGTTCCACCCCAAATCTCAGATCCTGGATGTCCTTTTCTGACACGGCAGGCAGATCCACTGCAGCCCCAGGGAGGTTCACACCCTTCTTGCTGCCCAAAGTGCCACCATTCTCCACTTCTGTTATCAGGAAGTCAGCACCTGTGTGAAATGGAGTAGGTGGGGAGGCAGGGCAATGAGGGCATTTGTCCTCAACATGAAGGGGAGAAACAAAAAGCTGCTGCCTCTGTCCCCAGTACAGTTAACTGGGAAGCAACACATTATGGGCAGTTGGAATCATACTGCCAGAGTTCAAATCCCAATTCCACTGACTGTATAACTGTGGGCAAGTCAATTAACCTCTCTGTGCCTCAATTTCCTCACATGTTAAATAGGAATAATACCTCCTCATAAGGTTGTCTTATAATTTAAACAAATTATCATGTAAAATGCTTAGAATAGTGCCTGGCACTTAAATTAGCTATCATTCCCAGAAACACTGGAGTCCTGTACATATCACATTGATGGATGGAGGAAAGAAGCAGGAAGCTCAAAGCAGTGAGGATGCATAAAAAGAAATCTTATATACTACCCAGGAGCATAATTATGCAGGACTCAAGTTTTCTTTTGAGGATAAGGAGATATTATAAAAGTCAGCACCTATGTGAAATGGAGTAGGTGGGAAGGCAGAGCAACAAAATTTAGAGATGGAAGCTAGTTTTAAACATACCTTTCTCCTTCACTTGCAGAGAAATAAGTCCGTCATCCACATAGATCTTGCTGCCCACTTCCACCACCTTGCAAATATTCTTGTAGTCCAGCCACAGGGTTTTTTCATCACACTTTTCCATGTAGGCATTATCCAGAGTGATCTTGAGAGTGGCCCCTTTCTTCAGCTCCACCTCCGCAGTGCCGCTCTGCAAACAAGAGAGTAAGTCCCAACTCTAAACTTTAGAGGCGATGCAGGCCCTTTTGGCAGGGAAAGAAATGCTTTCCTTCAGGGAACAATGCTCAAATCTTGTGTAGAACTAATAGTAAAGATCTTTGCTTAAGGACTAATCATATTGCCTAACTTAGTATATTTCAAAGAAGTAACCCCAGAAATGCCTACAAATGTTCTAGTTATGCTATTTAATGAGAGGGGAAAAGAGACAAATTACTTCCCAAAGGTAGAGATCTGAAAGTAATTTTTTAGAATAATTTTTTAATATCATTTTTTAGTCAAGTAGATTAAATCAACATTTTCACAGTGATGAATACAACCTTCATTTATACTCCTAAACTCTGAGGAATGTGGCTTCCAGAACAGCAGAGATAGCTGAGGACATCTCTGGGCCCTGACTCCTGCACCTTCCCTCTCACTTCTCCTCAGGATACTCACGCCCTTGATGAGCCCAGTTCGGATCTCAGGTCCTTTAGTGTCCAGGGCCACAGCAACTGGCCGGTAAAGAATGGGATCGGAAGCAAAGCTTTCAGTGGCCGTGCGCACATTCTTGATGGTCTCTGCATGGTACTGGGGGGAAGGAGGGGAAATGATAAGCGTCCTCTCCTATGCTAGCACTGGAGCTGATACTGATGACTCAAGAAAGACCAGTGGATGTTCTAGGCCTCCTCCACCATTATCTAGTCCAGCGGTCGCCAACCTTTCGGACCTCATGGACCACCAGTGGTCCAAGGATTACTGGCTGGTGACCGCTAGTCTAGTCTCAGCACCATCAGTACACTGAGTACCCACCCTGCTTATTTCAAGCTCCTTGGCTTCCATCACTTCTACCACAGCACTCATTCACTTCAAGGGTAAATCTTAGAAATTTTGCAGAGTACTGCCACAAAAAAAACATTAAAGGCATGGGTGTAAACACGCCTCAACATAAAGAAGCCTGTGTCCCCAATTTATAATAGCTAAGATCTGGAAATAGCCCAAGTGCCCATCAGTAGATGAGTGGATAAAATAGCTGTGGTACATTTATACCACGGAATACTATGCAGGAGTAACAAAGAAGAATCTTTAACACTTTGAGAGAGCATGGAGGGACCTGGACAGTATCATGCTAAGTGAAATAAGCCAACTGGAGAAAGACAAGTATCACATGATCCCACTCATATGTGTAATCTAAGTAACAAAACAAACTGATGAAGGAAGTGGATCCAGCATGGAACAGAGTGCGGAATCTCAGAGGGAACACGGGGAAAGGGGATCAACCAAAGACCTTGTATGCATATATGCATAACCCATGGATACAGATAATAGAGTGCTTAAGGCCAGGGGTTGGGGGGGGGGGGTGCGCTGGAAGGGGTTAATTGGGATAAAAGGGGACATATGTAATACTTTCAACAATAAAGAATTATTAAAAAAAAAAAAAAAAGAAAGAAAGAAAAGAGTACTTCCTCTAAAACCTATACTATAGTTCTACTCCTCAAAAGCATTTGCACTTTTTCCCATTTCTTATATTTGGTATTTTCTGTATATTTCAAAAACAAAGAGGAACTTTGCAACTATTCTATTGTTGGTATTATGTATCTTTGGCCTGGTTGACGATATATCTTTGGTAGGGTTTATATACTAAAATGTTTTTCCTTCTTCCTTTTCTATGATCCTCAATAATTTGGGGGCAGTGGGGGGTTGGGGGAGAAAGAGAGAGAAACCTGTGTCCCTCAATGGTTCTCTTTTTCTCAGAACTCATCAAATAAAGCAGAAAACAGGAGTAAAAGGTCCAGGCTTGTTTAAATAATACTGCTCTGTTAATCAGATGCTGAGTAGATTTGGTAATTCTGAGCTTTTCCTCTATTGATTCCAGCTACAATTCAAACCTAAAGTTATTTACTTAAGTAACAGTGGCCCAAGCTAAATAAAAGGTGGCCTATTCCTAAGGTCATGCAGGCCTATTTTCACAATTACTTTCAAGAGACTGAAGTGGAATAGGGAAAGATGAAAATATGCTTTTCTCTGAACTAAATGCCCTTTGCTATTTTCATTTCTCCCTTGCAACAATCCTGATTTCAATCTTCTTTCCTTTTTAATAATTTTATTGATATCAGAGAGATAGGTAGAGGGGAAAAGAGATAGAAATATCAATGATGAGAAAGAATCATTGGTAGGTTGCCTTTTTCACATCCCATACTGGGGGTTGAGCCCGAAACCCAGGCATATGCCCTGACCAGGAATCAAACTGTGACCTCCTGGTTCATAGGTTGACACTCAACCACTGAGCCACTCCGACTGGGCCAGTCTTCTTTCTTAAGTCCTTTCTCTTTTCCACTTGCCATTACCATTTGACTCAAAGCTAAGATGTCAAAGTTCTTAAAAAGTGTAATCAATATGACATTGCTGATAACAGAGGCACCTCCCTGAGCACTGTGTGGCCTTGTCCTTTAACCACCACTGCCCAGGAGAGCAGCTCATGCAAGTAGGAGGCCAGAGAGAGGAGCTAAACCAGAGTTTAATCTCCAAGCATTTAGGTGTTGCCTAAAGTTTGTGTCTGAAAATCCTCAGCTTCTAATTCAGGCATACATTATAATGAGGACCACTGGCTTTTTTGAGGTATAGGTCCTTATTGTAAGTTATGAAAATTTCTATTGCTGACTTGCAATAAAATAGTACAGAATAGAATACAGAAATATTTTAAAGGGATGGGCATTGAATACTGTCAAATACCTTTTCTTCAGAATTGATGTAAGAATACATTAAGTACTTAGAACAGAAATGAGCACATAGTAATTATTTAATGAATGTTACCTATTATCATCTTCTACTACACTGATCACATTTTAATCACAATGTGAACTGTGTCTAAAATAAAATTTACTTGGTCAAGGTCATGACTTTAATATACTACTGGATTTAGACTGTTAAATTTTATTTATGTTTTCTGCATCTTTCTACGTGAGACTGGTCTAGTGTACTAATCTTTAGTACTAACCTGTCTGGTTTTGCTATTGTCCTTGTCTCATTTTAGCATCAGGTTTTTAAAGAACATATTGGCAGGAGAAACCAAGATGACGGCTTAGAATAGACACCCGAATGCAGCCTACCACAACAACTTTGAATTTAGAACTGGAAAACAGGGGAGGCATTGCCCTGAAGCACTGGATGGCTAGCTGAGAGGAGGCTCTGCCATCTGGGAAGGAGAGAGAAGGCACACTGAACCTCAGGAACTGTGAAGGTACGGAGAACTGTGCGAGCGAAAAGGTGCTGGCTTACTCCCAGCGCGCGGAGAGGAAGGGCCGGACCGAGATTGCTGCTGGCTTACTGCCGGTGCACAGAGAGGGCGGACAGCTAACGCGCAGCTGGCTTTCTTGTTTGAGAGGAAAACAGAATCACCCTATTGCTCTGATAGACGGCCCCAGTCAGGGAGGTTGAACTGTCAGGCAGCGGGCAGAGATCTCTCCGAGGCGTGTGAAGCCAGAGGCCATTACTGCGGGACTTGGGGAGGAGCCGGAGGGAAAACAAAGCTTGACTGCACCAACCCGAGACTCTGCCCATCCAAGCTGAGCACAGAAGCTCTCCCAGAAGCTGGCTTTCTCTAAGGAGGTTACTGGCCGGAATCCAAAGCTTGTCTGCGCCTTTACCAAAGAGGTCCGCGCACCTCAACCAATCTTCCGAAACTCACCGCGAATAGGACTTTTCTAAAGCTAGACTGACAGGGAACCAAAGATTGTCTGCACCACCCCGAGACTCCGGCCCGTCCAAGCAGAATACAGAAGCCCTCCTAGCTGAGACACTGCTGATCCTCACAGCCAATTGGCTTGGAGATCAATGCTTCCAGTGATACCAACAATAACCAAGGCTTAACAACAAGGCTGTACAAACAGCACACCAAGCCCAAAAAGCTACACCAAGACTGTCCACCGCAGGTAACTGGGAAGGCTGTGCTACTGGGTTCTATCAGAACGCCTAGCACACAAAACTATTCCATCAAATCAGGGAAACAACTAAAATGCAGACAAGAGGAAGGACACAAAGGAAGGAGATGGAGGAAAAGAAAAGATTGGACATTGAGTTCAAAACTACAGTTATAAGCCTTTTCAAGAATATCCTAAAAAAGGCCGATAAAATAAATGAGACCTAGGAAAATATAAAAAGGGAGCAACTAGAAATAATAAGGGATCAACTACAAATGAAGAAAACATTGTCTGAAATAAAAAATATTACACAGAGTCCTAAAAACAGAATGGAAGATCGCAAGAATCAAGACAAAAGATTTAGAACACGAAGAGCCAGAGGACACTTCTCCACAGAAGCAAGAAAAAGAGAATCGAGAAAGTTGAAGATAGTGTAAGAAACCTCTGGGACAATTTCAAGTGAATCAACATCAGAATTATGGGGATCCCAGAAGAAGAGAGAGAGCAAGATACCGAAAACATACTTAAAGAAATGGTGACAGAAAACTTCCCCCACCTGGGGAAAGAAATAGACTTACAAGTCCAGGAAGCCCGCAGAACCCCAAACAAAAGGAATCCAAAGAGGACCACACCAGACACATCATAATTAAAATCCCAAGAGCAAAAGAAAAAGAGAGAATATTAAAAGCAGCAAGAGCAAAGCAGGTAGTTACCTAGAAAGGAGCACCCATATGATTGTCAGCTGAGTTCTCAACAGAAACCATGCACGCCAGACAGGAATGGCAAGAAATATTCAAGGTGATGAATAGCAAGAACCTACAGCCAAAAAATACTTTACCAGAAAAGCTATCACTCAGAATTGAAGGCCAGATAAAGAGCTTCACAAATAAAAAAAAGCTAAAAGAGTTCATCACCGCCAAAACAGAATAATATGAATTGCTGAAGGGGGTTATTTAGGAAGAGGAAGAAAATAAAGATAAAAATTATGAACAACAAATACGTAACTTTCAACAAGTGAAACTAAAAACCAAGGGAATTAAAAAATCTGATGAACAATATTAACTGGTGAATATAATAGAAGAGGAGTGACCTGATGATTCTCGGGGAAAAGCGGAGTTGACTGGGGGCACGGGAAGAGACTGAACATAAACTGCACCTATGGATGAGGACAATGGGGGGTGGGGAAAGGACAGAGGGTGGGGTGGGAACCTGATGGAGGGGAGCAATTGAGGGGGGGCGGGGGGAGAGGAACACATTTGTAATAATCTGAACAATAAAGTTTTATTAAAAAATTAAAAAAACAAAAAGAACATATTGGCAATATTTCTATACTTATCTTAGCACTGGAACAAAATAACAAAGGGTTTTACTCTTCCTGATGGAGAGATACAATTCATCCATCAAAATCATTTGGGCCTGGTGTTCTGAGCAGAGGGAAATCTTAGTCATTTTTTCATTTTCTTAAGGCTGCTAGTCTGTTAATATTTTCTACTTCTTGGGAAATAATTTCATTTCAATAGGAAACCGTTCCTTTTCTATGATCCTCAATCTTGACTACACTTTCCAGTTTTTGCTTTACTGGTTTTTACTTTTTCTTCTTTTGCCCCAAAGAATCAGCTTGTGGCTCAATTTGTCAAATTAATTCCTTTCCTTCACCCTTTTTAAGTTATTTTAGGTTTCCCCCCTAGTATTTTGTATTAAATATGTATTTATTTCACTTAGTTTCAGACTCTTGCTTTCTGACAAGTGGATTTAAGTTTACAGGTTTTCTGATTACTATATTAGACTTCACTCTCAATTTCCATAAAAAGATAAGCCAGAAAATGTGGTTTATATAATTTCTACTTTATGAAACTTTAGTTTTGGTGGTCTAATATATTTTTTAATTATTAGCATATTTACTTTTGTTTTGAAAAAATATTTTTTTTACTGATTTCAGAGGAAGGGAAAGGGAGAGAAATATTTAATGATGAGAGGTCATCATCAGTCAGCTGCCTACTGAACCCCCCCCCCCCACACACACACACACACACACTGGGGATTGAGTCTGCAACCTGAGCATGTGCCCTCACCACAACCGCCTGATTCATAGGTTGACATTCAACAACAAAGCCACACCAGCCCACATCATTGTTTTTAAGTAAACATGCATTTATGTCTTGTAGACAAAATCATATACACATATCAATTAGATCATCAGGTATTATATTACCAAATCCACTAAGTTGGTCATTTTTTGGTAGGCGTACTGAAGTCTTACACTGTGGCTGTAGCTTTGCTGGATGTTACCAATTGGTAAAGAATTGCATCACTTGCTGAAGCCGGTTTGGCTCAGTGGTAGAGAGTCGGTCTGTGGACTGAAAGGTCCCGGGTTTGATTCCGGTCAAGGGCATGTACCTTGGTTGTGGGCACATCCCTGGTAGGGAGTGTGCAAGAGGCAGCTGGTCGATGTTACTCTCTCATCGACGTTTCTAGCTCTCTATCTCTCTCCCTTCCTCTCTGTAAAAAAATCAATAAAATATAATATATTAAAAAAAAAGAAAAGAAAAAGATTTGCATCACTCAATGCTGCCCTTATGGAAAAGTCTAAATTTAGGTTAGTCAAGTCAGTATTTCTGGCCAAAATGGCATTATGGGACCACATGTTCAATAACAACACATCTTGCCCATGTGAAGTGATAAAAGTGGGGGCTAGAATACTGTGGTAAAGCTGTGAAGAGATGAAATGCAGACAGTGGATATTTCTCTGTCAGAGTGAGGCAAAAAAAGCAATTTCAATGTTCTGCTTAGAAGAGTATTTAAAATGTTAAGAGCCCAGCTGCTAGTTTTGTACATCAAGAGCCATGATGTACAGTCAAAGTATAACTTGTTTACATTATATCCTATATAATAAAAGCCTAATATGCAAAATGGCCAAACAGCCAGCTGGTAGAGGGCCAGCCCACCAGTCACCTCCTATAGAGAAAAGCAACCAGTGATGGTCGTGGTAGTGGTAGTGGTGCAGTGATGGGGGGTGGGAGGTAAGGGGACAGGCCGGCTGCAGAGGGAGACCAGACTGCAACTTAGGGCTCCCTGCCATCAGTTCAATATCCCCCGAGGGCTCTCAGACTTTGAAAGGACACAGGCCGGGCTGAGGCGACCCCCTCTCCCCGAGTACACAAATTATCACGCACTGGATCTCTAGTTTTATAATACGAGTAACCCTGGGCACGAATACATGCAGGAATAGCTAAGTGCTGCTTGCTTCAGCTGGCCAGCCAACCCACTGCTGTTCATAGCTCTCCACTGCACGTAGCTGCCCTGCCCTCCTGTAGCTCTCCCCAGCTCATAGCTCACTGCCCTGCCCTCCTGGTGATCGGGTCATTATGTCCAACGGTGTAATGACCATTAGCATATTAGCTCTTTATTATATAGGATTATAACAATTTCAGATCAGCTTCCAAAGTCCAGATCCCAGGGACAACCTCATCCTGGCCAAAACCGAAAATAAACCTGCACGAGGGGACTTGGTGGTTTTTTTGGTTTTGAAATTTCAATTCTAATCTGTGAATAAGAGTTAAAGCACAGATTGCCTCCAAATTCTCTTTAAGTTAAATCCCAGAGCCAGACCCCATCCAGTAGGTGCAGCAGACAGCACTTACCCTGGCCATGTCAGGGCTGTGCGGTTTTGTTTTAATGGGTGGAAGAGGCCACAAAGCTCAGTTAAAAGTCAACATATTAAACTCTATTTCTGCTCCCTGCATACAGGGGACCCTGAAACCCTGATCCAGCATCAGGGATCAATAGTGAATCCATTTTCACTAATGTCTTTAGCTCTCTTTTTAGGCTAAGTAATTCCTGGTAACTCCTGCGAAGGACCCCAACCTTTGGAAAATTAGGGAATGTCATGGTGTGTTTTAACTGCCAGAGGTGCCTGCTGAGCAGTTCTGCTGAACTTGGTCAGGTCCCCATGACATTTGGAGGGCAGCTACTTGCCAGGCCATAGGCTGTTTATGGGAAATGGGTTGGGAACTTCTGATGAAGTCTCATGTTTCCAAAGAGGAGGAATTCAAATCTTGGATTGCTTTTCCTGAGGCTTTATTTTTAGTCTAAACTTAACACCAACTTCCAAATACCAGAGAACAACCCCTCACCCCCTGCCCATATAGGGTATCATTCTCTTTATTCTGAATAAGAAGTACAGAAGGCACGAGTGGGGAAAGTTTGGCCCTAGTCAGTTTGGCTCAGTGGATAGTGTCAGCCTGCGGACCGAAGTCCATCAGGTCAAGGGCATGTACCTTGGTTGCAGGCTCTTCCCGGCCCCAGACCTTGGTCGGGGCTCATGCAAGGAGGCAACCAGTGGATGTTTCTCTCTGTCTTTCTCTCTCTTCTACTCTCCCAACAATCAATGGAAAAATATCCTCGGGTGAGGATTAACAACAACAAAAAGAGCAGGGAAAGTTTGCCTCATCCATATTCTTCTATCAATGCCAATGTTAAGTTCCAGGACTTATGATTGAGCCTGAAGGCTTTTATAAAAGGCATTCTGACCTTGGGAGCAGAGCAGGAATGGAGGAGTTCCCAATAGCTGCCACCTGGTCCCTGATAAGGCCAAGTCAGCTTATAAACAGCCCCAGATTCCTGGGAAAGTGTTAGGACTTGAACCCTTGGGAAGGGAGAGATTGGGAACACAATGTTGATGAAGTGGGGAATTAAATGCCAAATAGTGTTAGTTCTTTGTGAGACTGATGCTAACAGGGCACCTGCTAGTGCTTTAAACTCAGTCCTTAACTTGCCATAGTGGAAACCATTCTCCTGGACCTGCCCAGTTATCTTGGTCTAAAGTAGGCCAGAATCAACATGCAGGGTGACCTTCTAGGTCATCACTGCATTATGAGCTAGTACAGAAACCTGTGTGCAAGTGTCAAGACCTGTGGCCAGGGCACCTAATGGCTCAGGGAGGGTTCCAGTAGAATCCTTCCACTTTCTTTTGTGAGGACTAATGGTAGCCCAGGTATGTGAGAGAACCATGGCCATTGACAAGTCTTTGTTTAAGGCGACATGGCCAGTTGAGATGTCAAGAGAGAGGAAAAGGAGAGAAGGAATGAATAGGCTAGTGAAGGCCATTTTCCCACTGGCTATAAACCCCAGCCTCGTTCTTGCCTGATCCACTGGTGCCAAATAAACACTGCATCTTGCAAGACATATCAGTGGCCAAACTGCCCAGCCAAGGCTCACCTCGTGAGTTCCATGAGAAAAGTTCATGCGAGCCACATTCATTCCAGATTTAATCATCTCCTTCAACATCTCCACTGATCGGGAAGCAGGGCCTAGTAAACAAAGTTTTAAAGACGTAAGTCTTAATTATTCAAAGAATTAATACTAGAAACTTGCTTAGGATTAAAGAACTCTTAATATGTTGCTCTCCCTGAAGCCAGATGTCCAACCACAGAATTTGGTTGAACAGAGAATGACAAGAAGATCTATCCTTGGTCTTGGAGATGATCTTACGGAGATACTAGAAGGGAGATGCTGTCTTAATTTTGCTTTAGCAGAAACAAAGCATACTAATTCTTTATTGCAGCTTCCTATGATCTGAGTTCCCACAAGAATCTTTGTAGAATCTCACTCACCACCCAGGTTTGCTACGTTGTTTCTTTTTAGGAGAAAAGATCACTTCAACATGAAGCCTTGTTTTAGAGGAGAGATACACCCACTCACCGATGGTACAGATGATGCCAGTGTTCCGGGCTGTGATAGGTGGCGAATCAATGTCCAGGCGGCACATGTGCTCCAGGAATGTGTCAGCCATGGCTGCATGCAACTGCTGTGTCTGAATGAAGGCAGTCCCAACATCACTATGGGGCTTCGACATGGCTTCTGAGTTCCTGGGTCCAAGGGAATTGAAGAGCATGATGAGTTTGAGAAGCCTGGGGTGTTCTTTGCTGCTGGCATAAGAGGCCATTTCCTGCTTACACATTAACTCAATATGTATGTTTTGTGCACAAGCCACAGGGTGCCTTGCATACTCTGACCAGGTGGGTGTTCCTTAAGTCAGGCAAAGAGCTCATGGGACCATGAGCAAGTTAAAACCTCAGATTCAATGCATGTACTTCCCAGGAATCCACTCTAAGCAGACCTCCCTCACACTGGCCTAGTTTCTACCTTGACAGCTTTCCTCATAATCCTATAAAAATTATCATTTTACATGCCCGGAAGGAGCTTACTCAAAAGAAAATTGTAACCACCTTCCAGTGATATAAACAACTGACTCCTAGTTTAGAGCCTCAATAAATCAGATCTTCGTATAAAAAGTTGTCTCAGCTACAAATATCTGCAATGGGTGAGGCATTCACATTGCCGCTGAACAACCCACACAAACCTCAAGTGATGTTCCTAGTTCTAAAGACAACCACCACTCAGGCAGTCCTCCTAGTCCAGAGTCCTAGATTTTCACTCATCCAAAGCACCATATAAATTCATTCAACTTGCCCGTAGGACCCAGCCCACTGATGGGCAATAAAAACCAATCCCCAGCCATGAAGCAAAGTCCCACCAGAATTGTGAATGCAAAATCTTTTGTCCCAGGAGTATGTGCTTAAAAACCACATCTACTTTTGCTCAGGACTTTAGAATATGCAAAGCAATTTGCATAAAACCAAGGATAACCACAATGGCTCTAGTCTAGTTCTAAAAAGAGCTATATTTGAACAAGAGATTAAAGTTGTTTATCAAATCTTTTTCCCAATTGATTTCCTGATTCCCCTTTGAAGTTTGACAAGCACAACACACCCAGTAGCAAAGACCATCTGATCTGTTCCAGGTAATTAACCAGCCAATGTTACAATTCTGACAACTGTCCTGACCTTTGCTTTTCTGCATTACTAACTTTTAACTAAACTCAATCAGCCAGCTAGCTGATTTGAGACAAAAAGTGAGAAGCTTGTGGTCAGTGCTCTAAAGAATTGTTAGGCAAGAATGCAGCAGAAGCTTGACACTCCTTATCAGTAGGCTGTCCCTTTCCTTCAGTTCTCAGACCAAGGGCTATTCTTCTAAAGCCCTCAAGTTTAAATGCTTCAGTCCAGGCCAGGAACAAACCCCTTTTTAGCCCTGGTCCACCTCTTCTTCAGTCTCAGGGCTTCAAATACCCGCAAACCCCTCCCAATACATATAACCTTTTTACTTCTCTTCCTCCAACCCTGACTTTGTGGGCTCTCTGGGTGGATCCAGAGAGCATGCAACTAAACTCATGTTGGCCATCTTTAAGATATCTGGTAAAAGCTTTGTAACCAGTTGTAAGCAAATCTTTTGTCAGCTGTTAAAAACGAATGGCTATAAGTCTTCAAATACAAAATCTAAAACTTTTAAAATAAAAAAAAAACAAAATATCGGCTAACTATTCCACATAGCAAATACACTGTTCCTTTTCAATGTGCATTTTCTTGTAACTTCCTAATATTTACCAGGTCCCCCAAAATCAAAGTCAACCCTCTCCTCCATGACCTATTTGGTTCTGTACCTTTAAGCACTTGGACATATCCCAGTGTCTATCAAATACCTTTTCGTGTGTCATAATGCCTCTGTCAAAAATCAAAGTTGTATCTCCACTCTCCCATGCCAAATCTGAGGAACTTCTGATTTGTGGCAGAATGGCTGGACAGCCAAGTCCCTGTACTTGCACTTACAGTTGAAGCAGGGCTTGCACGCCTTCAGAACACCCAGGCAAACTTAAATAAGTATGGCTGTTAAGGGAACATGACTGAGGAGATGTACGCTGCAGGTGGCATACAGAGCCAAAAAGGCCTCGTTGGGGCCTCTAAGTAGAGAGAGCCATCCAACCCAAAGACAATGTCATGAACAAAATAAGGTCTGAATGACTGGGTTGGAGTAACTAACCCCACTCTTCTTTAAAAGCATCAGCTGGCCCTTCACTAGACCCGAGACATTAGGGTCTCCTTGCAAAGATCTGGCTGGGGCCAATAATTATTGGTCATACCTCATGTTCTCTTGGCTTGGGCTTCCGGTGACATAATGTTCTTTTTTTGGCCCAAGGTAGCTCTTTGGCCCCACTTGCAAAGACTGCTCGGAGCTGAGTAAGGTTTTCCCTGCAGAGCTGTACAAGGATTAAAGTGAAAGCCAAGTATAACTAAAGCTCTTTGGGGAAATGGAAAAATTACTTTAATAACCAGGTATCCTGGTGGTACCTGCTCCAAAAGATTCAGCTATGTTACAAAGAAAACAAAAGCTTCCCAAGAAATGTCAAGAAACCAATAACAGAAAATTCACAGGTAAAAGTTAGTTCTTACTGGTCCCTCTATGATGCTTTATCCCATACCCTAACACAAGATGGCAGGCAGAGGAGGGCAGTTGGTGGAGATTTCTTTCCCAGTAAAATCTTTTACTACTGCCCTAGCTGGTTTGGCTCAGTGGGTAGAGTGTCGACCTGTGGACTAAAGGGTCCCGGGTTTGATTCCGGTTAAAGGCACATACATGAGTTGCAGGCTCAATCCCAGTAGGGGGCATGCAGAAGGCAGCCAATCAGTGATTCTCTCTCATCATTGATGTTTCTATCTCTCCCCGCCTCTCCCTTCCTCTTTGAAATTAATAAAAATAAAAAATATATTAAAAAAATATTTTACTATACAAAAACCTGATTCCTCTTCCTTCTTTTCAGGCGATACGGACACTAAATTAAACATACATGAAAGGATTAGAAGGATAGCTACCCAAATATTAACAGTATGTTATCAGGGTGATAGGAGTACAGCAAAATTTTTCTTGTTATTGCTAATGAAATTACTAATATGAAAAACTTTTATAATAAGAAAAATTATAAATATATCTCTTCTAAAAACAATGTATTTACAAGCATCCTGGTAAAAGTGTTGAACTTAAAAACAAATATGATGCTCTGGCTGGTTTGGCTCAGAAGATAGAGCGTCAGCCTGGGGACTGAAGGGTCTTGGGTTCAATTCCGGTCAAGGGCTCATGCCTGGATTGCAGGCATGATCCCCAGTAAGGGCCAATGCAGGCGGCCATGCAGAATTAATGATTCTCTCTTATCACTGATATTTCTCTCTCTCACTTTCCCTCTCTGAAATCAATACACACACACACACACACACACACACACACACACACACACACACGAGGCCCAGTGCATGAAGTTTGTGTGTGTGTTGGAGGATGTCCCTCAGCCCAGTCTGCACTTTCTCCAATCTGGGATCCCTCTTATAATCTGGGACTGCTGACTCCCAACCACTCGCCTGCCTGCCTGCTTGATTGCCCTTAACTGCTTCTGCCTGCCAGCCTGATCATACCCTAACCACTCCCCTGCCAGTCCAATCGTCCCCAACTGCCCTTCCCTGTCGACCATCTTGTGACCACATGAGGGCGGCCATCTTTTGTGAGGATGTGATGATCATTTTGCATATTACCTCTTTATTATATAGGATATAACAAAAACAAAACACAAATATGAATCTCCTGATTCAATTGCTGTTTTATATACTTCAGGAATACTCTGAGTGTAGCAGGTAAGATAACGCATCTTAGGCCCTAGGTCACAATTGGACAGTTTCACTGGATTAAGAAGGTCAACCCCACCCTGCCAGTGTGGCTTAGGGGTTAAGCATTGACCTATGAACCAGGAGGTCATGGTTCAATTCCCTGTCAGGGCACATACCGGATTGCAGGAGGGGGCATGCAGGAGGCAACTAGGATCAATGATTCTCTCTCATCATTAATGTTTTCATCTCTCCCTTCCTCTCTGAAATCAATAAAAATATATTTAAAAAAAAAATGTCAACCTGATACATTCAGAACCTCAAATCAAATAAATAAAATAAAAATATTAATAATATAGTTCATAGTCCTAATCATCTGGCTCAGTGGATAGAGCGTCAGCCTGCGGAGTGAAGGGTCCCAGGTTCGATTCCGGTCGAGGGCATATACCTTGATTGCAGGCATATCCCCAGTAGGGATTGTGCAAGGGGCAGCTGATTGATGTTTCTCTCTCACTGATGTTTCTAACCCTCTATCCTTCTCCCTCCTTCTCTGTAAATAATCAATAAAATATACTTTTTAAAAATATATAGTTCATAGAAAAATTCAATGCCAAAACCTATTAGTTACATGACCAAATCTAGCAAACTTCTTTTCCTGTTTAGTCTGTCCTCAGGTTTCATAGCAAAATCTTTGTTACAATGGTTTTCTAGTACAGAAGGCCTGCCTCCAGGACCAGGAAAGACTATTAGCAGATACAATTATATGAAGCTCAAACACTAACCCTATTTCACCATCTCAAATTAAATCAAGGTTTACAAGCTCTGATCTTATGTTCCCCCAGTTATATTTGTTCACAAAAATGACTAATAAAAACTTATTTGGGATTTGAGTGGAAATACATACCAGCAATAAAAAAAAAACCTTGCTTGTCAGCAAGTTGTTCCAGACTCCTACAAGGTCTCAGCATGTCATTAAAGGCTTTCACCAAACCAGAGATTTCATGTTTTATCCCTGGCTCATCAACTAACTGGTCTCTCCTGCCCGTCTCCAAGGACCTCCAGGAACCTCTTCTTCAGAGCACAAGCTGCCAGACCCACCAACCACCTAGAATTTTGCCTAAAACACTTTCTGGAAAGCCACAGCCCTGGTTTCTCAGGGCCCGCCTCTGGGAAGAGCTCCCCTCCTCATGCTGGCCGCCTGGACAGTGCCTGCCAGACATGCCACCCAGCCATGTCAGGCTGACTCACTACTGCACCCTCCTCCTTGGGAGGCACAGACATGCAGAGCCAACCTCCGGGCAGCAGTGGAAGCGCAGTGTATCCACTGATGGTGGCAAACGCTGTGCCCAGGAACAGGAGCTTTATTCTT